TTGAATTAAATCAAAAAAATAGCCACACATTCACATACCATTTACTGCTAGGGGCTTTTCAAAGTCTCAAAGTCACAATTGAAAACAGTGCTTTTAACTTGAAAAAAAAAAAAAGGTCAATTTTTAATCTAAGATTGTAGAGAATTGAGAACTGTTTTTTATTTTATTTTAATGAATAAAGCATCTGTGCATAGCTATCTTAAATTTTAAAAAGAAAGAAATCCAGTCAACCCTGTTATACAGAAAAAAGGAACTTTTTGTTGCATAGAAGGAAAAGTTGTGGTTTTTTTATTCCTAAGAAGTGCATTTTTTAAATGTATTATAGCACCCTCTTTTGGTATCTAAGAGCATAAGGTGTCCTAAACAATCAGCCAGGGATTAGCACACTTTTTATTATAATTTCCGTTCTAAACTGTCTCTTAGAAAAAAATCGTGTTTAAAACACTGTGGGTTTTGTTTGCTGCTGTTGGTTTACTTTATTTTTGCAACAATCCTGAGCCATACAAGTAGCAGAATTGGTAAAACAAAACAAAACAAATTGAAAACCTTAGGAAACCTGATTAAATTTGACTTTTGTTAAATTCATAAGAGATGTGATGCTGGCTCCACCTAGTGTCGATTTTGAGTAATTCCGAAAACCGAAAATTAAAAACGAAAATAATTTCCCTAGAGGCCTACAGTCAATTTAGGTTAAATTTAAGTTAAAATCCTAGAACCAAATCCACATTCCTTGACTGATAGCTCTCTGCTTTTTTTCCTTATTGCTATACACAATATTCAAATATCAAAGAAAGGAAAGATTTAAAAAGCAAATCCCCTCCATTAACAGAAATCCAATTTAGGTGAAAATTTTATTATAAAACAAGAATTTTGAATCTCTAATGTATCTAAAGCACGACGAGAGCCTTCACAGAGCTGCTGAAGTCAATTCCATACACTCTAAGTTGGGGCAAAAGTTTTTTCCTAGTTTCTAGCTCTGAGAAGAATGGTTCCCAAGACCTCTGTAGCCATCCCCATCCCCATCTAGCACTTTAGGGGCTTCTCTGCCATGAACACTGCCAAATATTATTCAGCCTCTGAATTGCATCTACATGGAACAAGGGAAGTCATTTCATTCACCTATGTGGCCCTACTTTTAAGACACTTATAGTTAGTTCATGCCAGATTATTTTTGTGTCTCCTACAGAATGTCAGTGTGCCCTTTTCACAATCATGACCAGCCCCAGCACGAACATGAAATGAATCAAGTGTGAGCATGGTGCATCTCTTATTTTCAGTTCCACTTTATCCCCTTCACCTCATTTCCGGGTACTTCCTCCCACCCTACAGAGCCATAGGCTCCTCACCAATTTTCCTTTCCTTCAGGGTCTCCCAAGTTAATAGCAAATTAAATGGTAATTGTGCTTGCCCTATAACATCTTTTCTGGAATAAGGTAAAATATGAATTAATGAAGGAGTGACTGAATAAATACATGCCAAACAAATAAATAAAATTGGTCGTGCTAAGATATCCATGTCTTCTGCCTGTGTACAACTTTTCAATTTTCTTAGGAATCCTAAGTGGAATTCAGACAAATTTAATAAGAGTTGTGGATGGGACGGTCTGAGGCAAAGGGGCCATTTACAGCAGTAGAGGCAGTGCATATCCTGGTTCTGAGAGCCCTATCCCAGACCACTGTTGCCATTTTCTTACTTGAGTGAATTCCCAAAGGCACTCCCTGAATCCATTTTCTTCATCTGTAAAATGAGAAACATTAACAACCATTTTGTATGATTATTATTATGAAGCTTCAAAAGGATCTACTAGGGTGCTTAGTAATCACCAGACACTCAAAGTACGGCTATAATAATAATTTTTCCTATTACTGTGTACTCAATGAGCAATCTGTTCTAGGATTTTAACAGGTAGCAACAATACATTCTCTAGCCCTTTGTTTGAGCCAATGCTTCCATTTTTAAATAGCTGCAGATTTTCGATGTTCTGAGAGTCATCAAGAGTAACTCTGGGGGCTTCCCTGGTGGCGCAGTGGTTGAGAGTCCGCCTGCCGATGCAGGGGAACCGGGTTCGTGCCCCGGTCCGGGAGGATCCCACATGCCGCGGAGTGGCTGGGCCCGTGAGCCATGGCCACTGAGCCTGCGCGTCCGGAGCCTGTGCTCCGCAACGGGAGAGGCCACAACAGTGAGAGGCCCGCGTACGCAAAAAAAAAAAAAAAAAAAAAAAAA